TAATTAAAAGATAAACCAACTTTGCCGCAATTAGGGACTTCTGTAAGCTCGCTCCCCTTCTTCCAAGATGACTTTTTGTAAACTTATGTATTATTTTACTCGTACTATTTGTAGTACAATAATACTTGTACTACCTCATTACACCAGGAGGATCACAGAACATGTGGCCATGGTCTCCAGGCGATGGATCACAGAACACTGTGGCCATGGCTTCAGGCTGAAGGATCACAGAAACACGGGGCCATGGTCTCTGATGATAGGATCAAGAACACTGTGGGCCAGGTCCTCAGTTGATAAACTCCCAATCTGAGAGTTCAGATACTTTTTTTCTTTTTTTCGTGTAAAGGCGAGGTTGTATCCCCCAGTAACGCCTAGCAAAAAACCAACTTCTGATAAAGCCCCAGGGAACCTTCAACGACCTTCGGGATGTTTCCAGATAAAATATTCAAAAATTGTTTGTAAGGGAAAGATCAAGTTGAAGGGTACTCTGGGTTTTACCAAGAAACATAACTGAAATTTACCAAAATTTTAGTGAGTACACACTGTGTGTGTGTGGTGTATGTGTGACACTCATCTATTGTTGTTGCAGGAGGCGTTTGTAGCTCTTCTTCGCTCTTCGTGTGGTGTGTGTACTTCCTATGGGGTTGCAGGGGTCCGATTCAAGCTCTTGGCTGTGTGTGGTGTAAGTACCCTCATTCGAGTATTAGTTTTGCGATAAAAAGGAAAATTGAAAAATAAAAAGTACGGGGAACATTTTTTAGACAAGGACTAACCCCCCACGGCTGAGGGATCGCCACCCCCTTTTTCACTGCCCTCCACGCAAACACCTTTTTCGACGAAGAAGCCTTTTGCGTAGGGAAAACGTTTCGTAATAAAGTTTCTAAGTGTTGCCCAGTGTTTATTCGCAGAAATCTAAAGAGGGCAACCCGGGAACGGAAGTAGAAAGAAAGCAAAAATTTTCCCCAGCGGGAGAGAAGGATTTGAAAGGGAAAAGAAAAGTCATTTTTAGGGAAAGTAAAGTCACGTTAATTCAAATTCAAATTAAAATTAAAAGTTTTTCTCTATAAGATTACAATTTTTTAATTTACAAAATTTTGGGTTGTTGTGTGGTTTACAGTGTTAAAAAAAATTCAGAGTGCACCACTGAACGCCAGCATGGCTAGGCTTTGGGCAGACTTAGTTTAATTGTTTATTTTAAAATATTTCAAATTATGAGGTAATTTTGGTTTTTGGCTAAGTGACTAAATCATTTGTGAGTTTAGCAATGTAATGCTTTTGTTTTGGCACAGTACATGCTTCAGTATTGGATATCTAGGATTCATATTTTAAGTTTTAGATTAATATTTCTGTTTATGGTCAAAAGGGTAGTGAGTGTAAGTGTTAAAAAAACCCGGGGGTATTGTGTATTAGTTTTGGGGTTTTATCAGGGAGATAAGATTTTTCTAATGGGAGTTTTGAAGGGTGAAAGTGTCCAGTTCAGAGTTCTCAGGTAGGTGTTCCGATTTTGGGCCTTTGACTCATTAATTTTTTAAAGGGTTTTGTCGGGAAAGGGGGGTTGTCGAGAGATGTTTTTTGTTGGTGTTATGCCTTGGTTCTGTCACAACTATCAAGAAACGTTTTAGGTCAAAGGGTTTATATTGGAGTTTTCCTGTAGATGTAGATTGCACTAGTAAAGTGTGGGTGTACTGAACAGGGAGAAGTTTAGATTTGAAGATGGGGGGGTGTGTTGCCGGGAGGGATTTAGTGTTATTCTTATGCAGCTTTTTGTTGGGTTTTTATTGGGTTAGGTGGTTCGCAGTTTTCCCCAACACAAATAGCATAGGGAGGTATGGATAAATAAGGAGGGTATAGTGTGAGAAGGCATTTTTTGGCATGTATATCGTATCTTTGGGGAGGACCCACTGTTTTTGGATACTTTTTTGGTTATGTGTTGGATATGGGTGCTGAAATTCAGGTTGTTGTCAAGGTATAGGCCTAGGAATTTGCCCTCATTATGTCTGGTAAATTAGAGTGTTGTCGATCTTAATGTTAATTTGTGCATCTCCTGCTCTGCTACCAACATAAATTAGTAGGTTTGTCAGTGTTAAGCGTAAGTTTATTGGCTGTCATCCAAGTCGATATTTTGATCAGCTCCTCGTTAACATGGTGTTGAGGGTGCAAGATTAGGGTGAGAGATGACATAAGTCGTGTCGTCAGCAAAGAGAATGGTTTCAGGTGTTGGGATACGTTTGGAAGATCATTGATGTATATGAGGAAGAGCAGGGGACCAAGGACACTTCCCTGCGGAACTCCAGTATCAAGTGGCCGTGTTGTTGATGCTGTGTCTTTAATGGTAACATACTGATACCTATTAGTAAGGTAAGATTTGAAATAAGCAAGCGCATGGCCTCTTATACCGTAATGGTCAAGTTTGTGGAGTAGGATGTCGTGGTCTACTGTGTCAAAAGCTTTTCTTAGGTCAATAAAAATTCTAGTGGATATTCCTTATTTTCCAATGCTGTGTAAAGCAGATCTTAGCATGTTTTATGATTGCATCATTAGTGCTTTTATTTTTCCTAAATCCAAATTGGCAGGGGTTGAGTATGTTTTGTGCTGTTATAAATGAATATAGTCTCCTGTACACGAGTTTCTCAAAGATTTTGGATAGCAATGGTAAATTTGATATTGGCCTATAGTTGTTTAAGTCTGTAGGGTCACCACCTTTATGTATTGGTGTAACCCTTGCCATCTTGAGTAGTTTCGGGAAGGTGCTAGTTTCTAGTGACTTGTTAAAAAGTAATGAAATAGCATGCGAAAGGATATGGGCCACTCGCTTGTACAGTAATGGTGGGACATTAGACAGATTCCCTGAGTTGTTTTTAAGTGACTTTATAATCTCGGTGACTTCCGAGGCTCAGTGGTGCAAGATAGAAGGAATTTGGGAAATTCCCATCTAGGTAGTCCCCGGCATGGCATTAGTATGTGGGATTTTATTGGCGAGATTAGATCCTATGGTTGAGAAGAAGTCGTTTATCTTGTTAGCTGTGTCAGTGGGATGTAGTGGTGTTTCATTAGGTTTAGTTAGGACAATATTCTTGGTTTTTTTTCAGTTTGTGGGTCCCTAGAATCTGAGAGAGTGTTTTCCAGGTCTTTTTTATATCTCCTCTAGTGTCTGTGAATCTACTGGAGTAGTACAGCTGTTTGGCTTTCTTTATTACTTTGGTGAGAACTGATGAATAGTGTTTAAGAATATCTTTGTGTATTAAGCCCTGTCTATATTGCTTTCATATTGGTGTTTCTTGTCAATGGATTTCAGAATGATCCCTGGTTAGCCATGGGCAACCAAGCCGTTTGTTTGTGATCTGTTTCGTTTTATAGGACAAATGTTTGTTGTATAGTCTAAGTAATTTGTTAAGAAAAATGTCTGTCCAGTCATCAATACCATTGGCCTTGGAGAATTCTGTAGGCCAGTCAACAATCTCTAGGTCAGTTGTGAACTTCCTTATTGAGGCCTCGTCATGGAGTCTAAATGAGACTTTGTTGTATTCAAGTGGTGGTTTATTAATGTTTGTCAGGAGGAAGGTAGGGTAGTGGTCTGTAGTGCTATCTGTGATTATCCCTGATTTAAGGGGGGCTAGTATATTGGTCCATATGTGGTCTATTATGGTTGCACTTGTCTCAGTGAGCCTGGTTGGTTTAGTTATTGTTGGTATGAGAAGTGTGTTGTTCATTTGTTGAGGAAATCAGTTACAGGCTGATCATCTAGTAAGCCAAGGTTGATGTTGAAGTCTCCAGCTAAGAGAAGGTGGTGCTTATTCATTTGTCTGTTTGTTATTAGTGACTTTAATTTCTCACTGAAATTTGGGATGTTTGTGTGAGGTATCCGGTAAATGGCACCGATTGTTATAGGTGTCTTAAGGTTTTTTACAGTAAAATTAGCAAAAATGTATTCCCCATATTCATCACTAAAGCAAGTGGTGCTAATACAAGATAATTGGTTAGAGTAATAGATTGCAATACCACCCCCAACTTGGTTTGGTCTGCAGTTGTGAATTGCTGTGTATCCTGGTAGAGGGTAGATATCTGTTGTGTCCTGCATTAAGCCAGGTCTCAGTAAGAATAATGCAGGAGAAGGGTGTTGGAAGTAAAGACACGTTACTTGGAAGTAAAGTCACGTTACCAGGAAGTAAAGTCACGTTACTTGGAAGTAGTCACGTTAATTGGAAGTAAAGTCACGTTAATTAGACGTAAAGACACGTTACTTGGAAGTAAAGTCACGTTAATTGGAAGTAAAGACACGTTACTTGGAAGTAAAGTCACGTTACTAGGAAGTAAAGTCACGTTACTTGGAAATTAAGTTACGCTAACTGGAAGTAAAGTCACGTTAATTGGAAGTAAAGTTACACTAACTGGAAGTAAAGTCACATTAATTGGAAGTAAAGTCACGTTACTTGGAATTAAAGTCACGTTAATTGAAAGTCACGTTAATTTAAAAGAGAAGTAAGTTTGTCCTTAATTAGACCAGTCCACTTAGTGGAGCTTCCTGGGTGCACTACAGTACTCAGGGTAATAACTTCTGGGTCTTGAGGGAAAGCTTGGCTGCAAGAGTAGAGCTCTATCAAGGCGGTTTCTCTTTGTGAAGAGCTTCATAAAGGCATTTTTCTCTCTTTGTAGAGCTTCATCAAGTCTTGCTTGTATAAGTGAAGAGCTTTTTAAAGGCATTTTTCTATCTGTAGAGCTCTATCACGCTATGTTTTTATCTTTATAGAGCTTTATCAAGTCATATTTCTCTCTGTGTATAGCTTTATCAAGTCGAGTTTCTCGGTGTAGAGCTTCATCTAGTCATAATTTCAGGAAACTCTACACAGAGCGAAACGTGAACATGATAAAGCTCTACACAGAGGGAAACATGACTTGATAAGGCTCTACACAATGGGAAAGGATGTACGTCCACGTGAAGGCTTGTTAAGGAACGCGTGTAATTTCCCTAGAGATCACAGTGGACAGCACGCGCGTCTTACCTTCATTGAGAGAAGAATGCTGCCTTCAGCGTATATGCAGTCTTTCTTCCTGTGTGTGTATGATAATGACGTAACTGGGTTAACTTCAGCAGTTGCTGTCAGCAGCAGCAGCAGCAGCAGCAGCGATGCAGCCGACATTCCCGACGTCTACCAGGAAAAATAAGATTATTACTCTAACTGGTAGCATTTTTGTGTGCCAGTGATGGGAAAACTGGGGGTTGAGCTTAGTTGTGTGATGGGGAATGGGAGGTAATGAGGTTTGATCAAAGGAAAGGTAAGCGAGCTTCAAGTCTTTGAAGGCATCATTGCAAAGGGGACTCGAACAAACTGGGGTAACCATTTGCATCATATAATTACCTTGTTGTTAGCCTGGTTGTGGGGTCTTCAGGGAGCGTGGTGGTTGTTAGCTATCTGGCGGTCTTGTCTATGTCGGCTGTCTGGTGGTGTTGGCTGCCACCCTTATTAAAGCTACCTTCAGCAGGCCTCGTTCAATGTGGTGTTGGCTGTCACCATCAGCAGGAACACTATAGCACTGCCGTCAGCAGGTTTCGTTTAATGTTGTAGTGTATAGTGTTACCGTCAGCAGAAATATCAACACCATCAACAGGCCTTGAGTGTGGTACTGCTGCTTCCAGTAGCAGGAATTCCACCTTCATAAGAGGCAACAGCAGCAGCAGCAGCAGACGAGGCCAACAGTTCCAAGAGCCAGTTACTAACAGAGACCTGGCTCTCTGTTGGCTGTTGCACGCTCTCTGGATCAACTGCAACAATTGCTGCGCTGCGTTGACTGAACATCTCTTAAATGGAGTACCAGCCAATCAGATGCATGGCATTTTTTTACACAACCAATCACAAACCTCCACTATATACCTGAAATATGGAGGTGCAACCAAGATATTATATTTTTATAGCAATGGCGGGAAGACCCAAGTTTACCCTAAAGTAGAAGAACTATATTGTATATCAATTATATACAAAGACAAGTCTGTGTCACAAGCTCATCCTGTGACATAGACCAGTCTCAGGGGATTTTTTTTAATGAGTAACCTAGCTACATATTTTTTTGGTTTACTGATCTTCGAGACATACAGTATACCTCTAATATATTGTACTTGTGCCCCTGATCTGTGGAAATATAAACACGTAAGTAGTGTAATGTGATCCTTTATTGACAACGTTTCGCCCATACAGTGGACTTAATCAAGTCAGAAACAGATGTCTGATAAAGCCCACTATGTGGGCGAAACGTTGCCAATAAAGGATCACATTATACTGCAGCATTCTCCACCTGACCTCAACATTCTGAACCTGACTAGAAATACTCGCGCACCTTCCACCCCAGGTAGATCTGTTTGTGACTTGAAAAAGCCCACTGTGTGAGCGAAACGTTGTCAATAAAGGACCACATTATACTGCATATGTGTTTATATTTCCATTATACTGCTTAAGTTTATATTTCCATTATGTCGGTATTGTATACCATTTATTTCCTTCGCCCCTGATCTGTTTGCTCGTGAGACTGGAGTCACTATTACACAGTAAGAAATAATGCATATATCTTCTTGATCTGGTTGGTTGTTAGTGAACAAGTTGAGTTTCTGACACCACATTGTGCGATCTTTTTAATATCGACTTTTTTATATCTAATCTATATGAAATTTTATAAGATTGAATTATTATAATTTATTATTATTATTATTATTATTATTATTATTATTATTATTATTATTATTATTATTATTATTATTATTTTCATAAGGAAGTGGTAAACCCTTACGAATCATACAGCGTCTCAGAAACGTGATTTTTTTCACTGTCATAATCAGATTTAATTCGATGGGGTAGCTCCAGTTCCTTGGATCAATAGTTCTTCAATATCACCCAGGCACCTCGATGAGGTGATACAATATAACAGCAAGAACTGTGCTGACTTAACACATTGTAATAAAGTTGGTAGAATTACCGACAATATGTAAAGTAAAAGGACACAAGTGCAACTAATGTGACATTTATTGTGGCAACGTTTCGCTCTCCAGGAGCTTTATCAAGCCTAATATTAATGGCTTGATAAAGCTCCTGGAGAGTGAAACGTTGCCACAATAAATGTCACATTAGTTGCACTTGTGTCCTTTTACTGACTTAACACATGCATCACACAGGATGGGTCATGTATAAGACACGTGGACACGTGTCATATTCATCCTATCATACATTAATGGTATACGATATTATTAACGTATGATATGATGGTTCTCCTGTGATACAGTACGAGCTAATAAAATGTATCAGTCTAGCGGGCCGCCAGCAGCAACAGGCTGGTTGACCAGACAAGCCTGGCGCAGGGCCGGGCTGCGGAAATAGGAAAACTCTTGAAACCCGTCAAATGTTTCATATAATCGTCGGAGACTTCCGCTACGGATTCAGTAGCTATCATACCTTAAAACAAAGTTTACAATTACCAGCGCTGCAGTTACTATTACATGGAAAATATTACCATTTCGACGTTCATACACCAGAGAAAAATCTTATTTGGGACTATAGGACTTGACGCCCATCGACCAGATACACATCACTGTTGATGATTAAGACACGTGTACAAAAGTGGGATATCTTTATTGACGAAATGTTTCTCCTACACGATAGGCTTTTTCAAATACTACAATGTGGACAGTAGTATTGAAATTAAGATGATGTAATCAGTCCATCCATGGAGAGATTACATCATCTTTTTTCATTACTATTGCTACCTTTGTATTTGACTGAAAAAGCCTGCCATGTAGGCGAAACTTTTCGTCAATACAGATATGCCACTGTTATACATGTATCTTAATTTTCAACATACGTCACTCTCTGTGGTAGAGCACTACGCTGCTGATAGGAAGCTTTGGGAAAATGTTGGACAAATAGGGAAGTGGGAATGGTTGTTTCTGATATTACCTGTCTTGTATGGACCAGTAGAGCTGCTGCGGTGTTCCTCCATTCTTAATATTTGGGAATTCTTCGCTTGCCTAACCCTTGGGCACGACCTACTTCCACATTAAACAAATGTGACACCACCTACGACTGCTGCACCTCTCCTGCCTACGGTTTATAAGCTCCTTCTCCGCACATATGCCATATTCTATTCAAGATTGATGCACTGACCACATCGACTCAAAGTTGAGGGACTGATTACCTCATTCTCCTCCTGTTCTTTAAGCTTCTCCTTTGTATGGACTGATGAAGCCACTGTGTGGCGAAACGTTTCCTCAATAAAGATACCCAAGAGATGCACATGTGTCTAATTTATCAACGTGTCGGTTCTCTGAACCATTCATCTACAATCCATTCTTATGTTGGTATAGCACAAGAATATAGGAACACTGCAATAGGACTATTGGTCCATGTTAGGCAAGTCCCCCTCACACCCACTCGTGTACCCATCCAACCTATATTTGAGGCTACCTAAAGTTCTTGCCTCAGTTGCACTACGTGGGGGTTTGTTCCACTCATCTACAACTCTGTTACTAAACCAGTACTTCCCATTATCCTATACACTTCTAAATTTCTCCAACTTGAATCCATTGCTGCGAGTCTTGTCTTGGTTAGATATTCCCAACATGGTAGTTATATCCCCTTTATTTATTCCTGTTTTCCATTTGTACATTACAGTCATCTAGTCTCGGCAATTCCATTAAAATGATACATTCCTTATCAATTTTAGTCATATACATCTATGTATATATATACATAGGCATTAATTTTATAATACATCGAATCTATGAAAAGAGGTCTGGCAATAATTACCGTCCACATGACTAATGTATTTCATGAATATCCAATGAAAGCTTTCGGCACGGCAGTTCGAGGCTGACAGTCGAATGTATCTATAATTACCTGTTTGTAATTACCTGCTTTGTAATTACGTGTTGTGGTTACAGGGGGTCGAGCCACACTGCTGGTGCTGTCGCCTTGCTAGCATTTGTCATCACTTGCAACCTTTGCAGTGATTGTCACTAAGGTCACCGATGTTTTTTTACTGGTATACAGTGATTGTTTTACTGGTAGACAATGATTGTTTTACTGGTAGACAATGATTGTTTTACTGGTATACAGTGATTGTTTTACTGGTAGACAGTGATTGTTTTTCTAGTAGACAGTGATTGTTTTACTGGTAGACAGTGATTGTTTTACTGGTAGACAGTGATTGTTTTACTGATAGACAATGATTGTTTTACTGGTAGACAGTGATTGTTTTACTGGTAGACAGTGATTGTTTTACTGGTAGACAGTGATTGTTTTACTGATAGACAGTGATTGTTTTACTGGTAGACAGTGATTGTTTTACTGGGAAAACAGTGATTTTTTTACTGATAGACAATGATTGTTTTACTAGTAGACAGTGATTGTTTTTAAATAGTAGACATGATTGTTTTTCTAGTAACAGTGATTTTTTATATAGACTAATTGTTTTACTATAACAGTGATGTTTTACTAAAGACAGTGATGTTTTACTGGTAACAGTGGGTTTTCTGGTAGATAGTGATTTTTTTACTGGTAGACAG